ATAAACCTATTCCTATTCTTATAGGGTTGTATAAACCTATTCCTATTCTAATAGGATTGTATAAACCTATTCATATTCTAACACATCGGAAGTCAGATTTTTTCATTTTATGTATAAGCCAGATACACAGTGAGATCAACAAAAAGATTTTTTGTTTCAATTTGTGCTATTTCCTTTGCGTCAAAGTAATTTCCTTTTCTATAGGAGAAACGAACTTTGAATGATATCTAACTGAAATATGAGAATGGTCAAGTCCTTGACAAATCTCATGTTTTTTGAAATATCTAAGGCTTTAGTGCTTCGTTTTCTTTCGAAAAAGAGGGCTTAGTCTCACCTTTTGCTGAAGAACCCATCTGGAGAAACGTATCTTAACAGGAGCAACTTTAAGTAATAATGAGTTTTCTTATGCAGTCTTAAGTCTTTACTCTTTTGCCTCTTTGCCAGCTGGGCTCGAATGTATATGAATGAGCTCCATCAGTAAATGTCTTCCTTTCAGTGCAGTTTTATGTCAACTTTCTATTTTAGGTCCCAAGTTGTATTTTAGAAAAGTATCATCTTGTATTAGGAAATAGTTTTGGAAAGTACTCCTGATAGTGGGATTGTAATGCTTGATTATACTTTTACTTGACTCTGGGTCATGCTTAACCCTTATCTCAAATAATTTAGGGTAGAGGCTATGGATTCTTCACCTCTGGTTTCACTCAGACAGAAGCTGCGGGCGAGGATCCTCTTGGAGAAGCTCGACGAATTACTTGCAAAAAGTGTGGCAACTTTCATGTCTGGATTGTCACTAAGAAAACTAAGTCCAAAGCAAGATGGTGCCAGGTTTGCCCTCCAGTCACAGTATAAGCATGTTATAAATTCTTGAATTCGGTTCACTTTAGCATACATAGGTTGTCTTCCTCCTCTTCAGCTTAGGTTCTTGCAAGGACATTTATCTTTTTCTCTTCCATTCATAGGAATGTAAAGATTTTCATCCAGCAAAAGATGGAGATGGATGGGTTGAACAGCCTTCACATCCATTCTTTTTCGGAATGCTACTGAAGGTATCAACTAATTTGATCAAAAAGCAAGAAAGAAAAAAGCTTTTGAGGAGACATCTTTCATGATGAATCTCTTCTTTAAATATTTTGTTCTCTTTAGTTCTTTCCTCTATCTGTCATCCTTGTGTATATGTTACCCTACTGATCTCCACCAATCTGCGCAGGTAGATAATCCTGTTGCCTATGTTTGTGCTGATAGCAGGATCTATAACGCAACTGAATGGTATATCTGTCAGGTAGATTTTTTCTTCTCATCATTTAAAAGTTTTCGATGTTCCTTGGATGTGGAATTGAATTGGTCTGGGAATTGAGAAGAACTTATTGGTAGCACTTCAAAGTGCATTACTGTAGTCATCATTGATTTTTTTTGCTTTTTATCATCACGGTAAGGTGTGGACTTCACTAGCTTTCTGCAAATCTCATAGGAGAACTAAAGTTAATTGTGTGGTTGGGCTCACATATCCCAATTGAATAATCATTTATGGTAAAACCTCACTAAATTAATACTCGATTAATTAATAACATCTCTAAGATAATATTTTTCTCCGGTCCCGACTTGGGCCAATGGAAAAAATCACTCATTTCGATAAGATAATATTCTTTCTGAAGACCCCTATATAAATATATGGTCCCATGAATATTATAAATTAATAATTCGTTAAAAGTACAAATATATCTTAAGACAGTTTAGTGAAACATGATTGTATTGTGTTCTATTTTTTTGTTAAAATTTAAATCTTGTTGAAACTCATCTCTTACTTTTTTTATTGCATCCAAAAGTTTTAGTGTTGTCTTTTTGAACTGCACCACTGTGAAGAGTTCTAATTGTAATAAGTGTTTCTTGACCGTAACTTGTTCCAAAGGTAATGTATCATCTTCTACTTTATCATCAGCATTATTTTTTTCAATGGTATCCACAATTTCTTCTAAGCTCTGGACCTATGAACATGTATCATTTTCACCCATCCAACAGGTTATTAACGTCCATTTTATTGCGGCAACCGAGATCATTAATCATGATCTCAAGTTCACGAATGACATTTTCACAAGTGGATTCATTTAAATTCACTGAGATTTCATCCTCAAATGAATTTTGCTGTGTCGGAACTAATATCTCTATTTCATGGTCCCACATATAGGTTTTACTGTATGTCTCTTATTTTTGGGGGAGGGAAGGGGGGTCTGTCTGACTGATTCTACTGCCATCATAGTTACTTGTTAAGCTTGGACCAACTTCAATTTTATCTTCCATGGGTACTATACTGTTCTTTTCTCCATATTTAGGAAAGATCAACTCCCATGGATGAGGATTTTTCTGAGTGGACAGAAAATGCTCCTATACAGGAATAATTAGCACTGTAGAATCATAGAATGGGTCTTTTCCAAAAATATGGATCCCCTGTTTGCTTCTATTTTTCCACTACTAGTTTGAGAAATCATTGGCAAGTTTGTTAACTGACATGTCAAGGAAGATCTTGGTGGCTTCACTTTGGTATGTTGTGACAATTCTTTTTTTTTGAGAAGGCAACAGTCTAGTATTATATTCCAAAAAATCAAAGCTGAGGTTTACTAATTACAAATAAAAGGAGAGTATCAGGAAGATCTTCAATCCTAAATAACAAAAATTACAAGGTGCCTAAAGCATTCATTACTGATTCTAGATCTTCCATATACTCCTGTTTACACCAAAAATGAAATAAAACCAAGCAATTCATCTTCATCTTCTGGATGCTGTTACTTTTGTTCTGGAAGCATCTGAGTTTCCTCTCTTTCCACACAGACCACCAGATACAGGTGGGGATGATCTTCCATCTTTCTTTATGACCAGAAATGTAGGCAAAGCTACTCCATATCTTCAGGGCCTGGACAATATTTCTTGGCATCACCCAAAGTAGGCCCTTCGAATTGATGAAAATGCTCCACAAAATATTAGTGATCCTACAGTGAAGAAAGAGGTGATTGACTGTTTGAGCCTCTTCTCCACACAGGAAACACCTAGGACTCAGTTGGATAATCCCTTTTCATGAGGTTCTCCTGAGTCAAAACAGCCTACTTTGCTAGTTGCCAAGTGAAGCAGGACACTTTAGGAGGTATTTTAACTTTCCAGATAAGTTTCCATGGCCAACCAGTAACCTGATGGGTGAAAGAGTTGAACTTTTTGTAAGCTTCCTTCACACTATAATTTCCGTTGCAGTTATGATTCCAAAACAATCCATCTTGGGAGGTAGAGGTTCCTTTGAATTGTTCAAGGATTCCAAAGAAATCTACTAGTCTTTGGATCTCCCAATCATTTAGGGGCCTTCTAAAACTCAAATTCCATCCCTGATTTGACCAAACTTCTGCCAGTGTCTTGTGACAATTCTTAAGCCCAAACAACTTGTAATTTTGTCTCTTCTTAAGTTTGCTTGAACAATTAAAAAAAATTGTTTAAAACACACCCTGTATGCCCCCTTACTTTGTAGTTCTAAAATGGAAGAGTGCCTCTAGATCTTTTAAGGTTGGTTAATCATCGAAATGACCTAATTTAACTGAGCGGATGTACCTCTGTATCTAGATTATGTGCTTGAAGAATTGAGCATTATGCTGGTTGTGCAGGGAATGAGATGTCCGGTCAGCAGTCACAAACCAAGCTTCCATGTAAATACTAGTGTAACCTTGAAGAACAACAATGGGAAGAGAAGTAGCTCAGGACAAAAAGGTGGGATGCCAATGCCAAATATGGAAGAGAGCATGACCGAGGAAGAATTTGTCGAGTGGCTACAGAATGCTGTACAAGCTGGTATGTTTGATGATTTTGATGGCAGCGCGCCACAGAGCCCATCTACACCAGCTGGAAGTACCTCCAAGAGTACTAGTAGTACAGGCAACGGTAGTGGAAGTGGAAACAAGAGAAAGAAAAAGGGGAAGAAGCAATGGTGAGTATGAAGCTCACTCTGATCCTGCCTCGTTGAATTATTCAAGGACATGGCCAAATGAGAGCCAAAATCCCCATGATTTCTGTCAGACGAAGAATCGTCGTCTAAGCATGTTCTGGGTCAGTTTGAAATAGATTGCCCAAAAGTTGGCAAATAAATTGTAGTCTCACTTTCTGGGTAAATGTTCCTATCCTGACCTTTATACTGAGTTGAGAAATGAGAGCATGAGAGAGATGCATGTTGAAAATGAAATGGGGACTCCAAGCAAAAAGAACGATTACAACTCTCGCTAAAATTGGTCTGATGGTTCATTTTCTTTGCCTCGGTGGGAAATTGGTAACGGTTGGTTTTTTGAAAAAAAAAATACTGCAATTTTGTCGAAAGGAATTATTTTATTAATAATTTAGAGGCATACATTTATAGATATAATTTTTAACTAAAAATAAAGAATATGCTACTAATTTATCAGTAAAATTCAAATAACAAATAAAAAAACTAACACCTAAATTCAAGTCACATAGGATTCTAATAAAATAATTTAAAAACCCTAAAAGTAGGTAACTGTTTTATTTCTGCAATATTTTGAGACATATTCTCAACCTCCTCTTTGGATCAGGAATCGTAGATTGTAGTCTCATATGAAATTGACCTTGTGAACAAATATGTCAATCCATCTTTTGTTTTGCAAGGCTTGTGTGCATCTTCTATTGGATTAAATGAAAAGCTTTTACCTCTCATTTTAAATTGTAAAATCTATTGCTTAGTAGAATCAAAGATTCGACAATATTTGTCTCCAAATAATAATTTAATATTTTTTCTATTAATTGACCAACACTAAGCAAATTCTTATCACTATTAGGCACATAAAGAACATCTGAAATTATTTTTGTACCTAAATTTGTTTTAATTGCAACAAACTATTTTTCTTTTGCAGGAATACCGTCACCATTCCCAATTCTGATTTTCTTATTTTTCATAGAATGAACTCTTTAAGAAGATTTTTATCATATGTTATGTGGTTTGTATAACCACTATCAATCATTCAAAAATCAGATTTTTTGGTTGAAAAATAAGTTGCCACAAATAAGTGGTCTTCTTCTTCTTCTTCTTCTTCTTCTTCACTAGTGACTTGGGCAATTGTTTCAACTTTTTGAAATTTGTTTTTGCAAATCACAGCTTCATGACCAAGTTGCTTGCAGATCTTGCACTGTGCATTTGGTCTTTTCCAACATTTATATGGAGGATGCCCATTTTGTCCACAGTGTTGACAAGGTGGACAATTTTTCAAAAAATTACCCCTGCTTTGAGTTTTGTGGCTGGCTACTAATGCTCCTTCAACCATGTCATGTTGCCTCATAAGTCTCATTTGTTCCTAAACTTGCAAAGAATTTAACAATTCTGCCAAGGTAATTTTGGACAAACATTGTGTGTTTTCCAAGGTAGTTTATACATGCTTCATATTTTCCGGGCACTATAACAAAAACTTTTTCAACAATTCTTGTATCTTTAAATTCAGTGCCTAGTAATCTTACCTTGTTGACAATACCAAGCAATATGTCAAAGTATTTCTTTACTATTTCTGACTCTTTCATTCTCTGCAATTCGAATTCCCTCATTAAATTTAATACTTTCATTCCTCGTATTCTTTCATCCCCAGCATATTCTTTCTTCAGATAATTCCAAATTTCTTTTGGTGATGTGAGAGTCATGATTTTCGTGAAAACAATTGTCGAAACAGCAACAAAAAAAGTTGCTTTTGCCTTCGACTTAATAGTTTTCTTTTCCTTGTGACTCTTGATTTGGGGCACGGTGGGATTATTTGGCAGCAGATTAATTTCATAATCCTCTTCCACGGCTTCCCAAAGATCAAGACCCTCCAAGTATGTTTTCATTCTCACAGCTCATAGTTGATAATTCTCACCATCAAAAATAGGAGGAGCCATTCGTGAAAATCTATTTTCGGAATCCATTTTTCTACTCACAAGTCCCTCAAGAAGAAAGCTATAGATACCAATTGTTGGTTTTTTAAAAAAATTAAGAAAATAACATAAAAAGACTTTGAGAAAAAAAATACCGCAGTATTGTCAAAGGGAATTATTTTATTAATAATTCAGAGATATACATTTATAGATATAATTTCTAACTAAAAATAGAAAAATATGATACTAACTTATCAATAAAATTCAAATTACAAATAAAAGAACTAACTCCTAAATTCAAGTCACATAGGACTCTAATAAAATAATTTAAAAACCCTAAAAGTAGCTAACTGTTTTATTTCTACAATATCATGAGACATATTCTCAACAGTAACACAACTTACATGTTTTTGTACTAGTTTTCTGAGGATTTCTTTAGCTATCCTTTCACCGGTCGGTCAATTATGAAAGACTCTGCTGGCAGGGCTACATAAAAACTCCAACAAATTTACAATCTTCAATCTTGACACCTCCTCAACTCAACAATGTAATTTCAAACCAGAAGAATCCTTGGAATACTATGTAGTAAATCACTTTAAACTTGCAGTCAGTTTTGTTGGTGGTTGGTCTTTTTAGATGTTTTTTTTTCATTCGACTCTTTAGGTTTAAGATTAGCAAACCGGCCGTCCATTCACACGAACTTGTGCTTCACAATATATTTGTTTAAGCATTTTATCAACAAATTTAATCCCAACTCCGGTGTGATATCTATTCTTCTTTGGTTTTAGATTTGTTTCTAAACATGTTCTTTTTCTGCTTCTTATAACACTGGACATTTTCGACCATGATAACATTGTTATCCAGGTTTTAGGTATAAAATCAATGTATAGCAATTAGGGGTGTACAAATTCGAAATCAAAATCCAAATTGAGTCAAAACAGAAAAAAATTCGATAAAAAGTTGGTATTGAAAAAAAATCTGACTATACTTAGGTTGCTTTGGTTTTAACTAGAAAAAATCAATTGGAGACCAAACCAACCCGACCCGACATTATATATATAGATTTAAAATTTTATTTTATACATAAACAAATTTACTTTGATATAATTTTAAAATTTTTAAAACAATAATATTTTGGCATTTAATAGGACCCTTTAGCTATACTGATTGATTTATTATCGAAAGAAGAGTTTTCTGGCTTCAATATTAATTGAAAATAACTATATTTTAATTTTATATAAAGCTGATTTATGTATTTTTTTCTTTGGTTTAACTTAATAGAATACAATTAAGAAATAACAAATTAGAGAATATCAGGGGAGAGATTGGGCAAATTTTTTGAGAGGATCTCAAAAATTCATGAGAAGCGACTTTTTATCTGTAAAGAAACATCAGAAAGTCTAAAATTCTACACTGGGTAGAATTTTTGAGGAAACCTAAAAAATCTTAGCAAAATTGCATTCAGAATAAAGGTCAACCTTCAAGATGACATCAAAGTAACATGTTGATCAAAACAGAGATACAAATCAACCTTTCCTCTTATAAACCAACTATTTTTCATTGAATGCAGAAAAAACAGGTACATAAATTAATTCAAACATCCGGCCCCCAAGCAATCACTGAAAATGACACTTTACCCTTCCAATAAGTCGAAGTACCAAACTACTTTATACTAAGCCCGACAATCGCCAGTAAATGACACTCTGTCTTTCCAATAAGACGAATGATCAAACTACTTTATACAAAACCCGAATCTCGCCAATAAATGGCATTGTGTCCTTCCCCAACTTTTATTTTGCGACTTACCTAACTTCAAAACTTGAGATACAACCCTTGAACACTTAAAATATGACATACCACATCATTCACAATTTATTACTCACCCTCTTTGTCTTTCTACGAAGGTACGAGTTAATTTAGATGTTTCTAAAGGTCGGGGTGTTACATCCTTCCCCTCTTAGAAACATTCATCCTCGAATGAAAAATCTGAGTCACGCGGTTTAGTCCTTAGCCAAAATTTAAACAGAGTATCCTTTGTAAATGTGACTATCCAGGAACTTGAAACGCAGAAATTCTAACCTAGGCGTCTCATAGGACGACATAAATAGCTAAGCACTATAGCTCTGCAATAACACTGTGAGAAAAACTACAACGATAACCACCATAATAATAAGAATTAATACAAAAATAAGATAGGTATTTTACCTCACTGAACTAATATAAACTGATATGGCATCACCTTGGGGTATGAAACAAGTGAGGATATTTGGACCTCATGCCATCCTCAGCTACCCAGGTCACCTCTTCTCTATTCTTGTTTCTCCATAATACTTTAACCGAAGCCACCTCTTTGGTCCTCAATTTACGGACCTGTCGATCTAATATGGCAACTGGAGTTTCCTCGTAGGAAAACTCCTCTGTGATCTGAACACCCTCAACTGGGACAACCCGAGAAGGGTCTCCCATGCACTTTCGTAGCATCGATACACGAAAAAATGAATGAATAAACTCTAGCCCCGAAGGTGATTCTAACTCATAAGCCACTCGTCCTACCCTTCGAAGGATCCGGTATGGCCCATTGAATCTTGGACTAAGCTTTCCTTTTTTGCCAAATCTCATAACACTGTTCATAGGCGAGACTTTTAAGAATACCCAGTCATCAACAAAAAACTCTAAGTCCCTTCGCCGCACATCTGAGTAAGACTTCTGTTGGCTTTGAGCTGTTAGCAACCTCTCCCGAATGAGCTTAACCTGCTCCACTGTTTGTTGTACTAAGTCAGGTCCAATCAACCCTGACTCACCTACCTCGAACCATCCAATGGGGGATTTACATTTTTACCCATACAAAGCCTTATAAGGTGCCATCCCGATGTTAGAATGATAACTATTATTGTATGCGAACTCAATAAGAGGCAAGTGGTCATCCCAACTCCCCTTAAAGTCTAGCGCACACTCCCATAACATATCCTCGAGTGTCAAAATTATGCTCTCAGCCTGGCCATCGGTCTGAGGGTGAAAGGTTGTACTAAGATTAACATGTGTCCCTAGTCCTTTCTAGAAGGACTTCCAGAAGTTAGCGGTAAATTGTGCTCCCCTATCAGAGATAATAGATACTGGGACACCGTGTAGCCTAACAATCTCTCTAATATAGATCACGTAATCAAGAAATGATAGGATAACAAGAGAAAAGAAAATATCCGACAAATACCACATGAAATTACATGAAATATATTGCAGGCATTATCTAAGAAGCTCAATAAAGAAAGTAGACTGAAGCCTACCTTAAAGCCGAACACGAGTTCTCCAAACACCGCCAAACTATTAAACTATCAATCACAACGTTATTACAAATGTTTAGACAATAAAATCACAACAATTGGAAATAGACCCAAAATTGAGTCAAAACGGGAATGTGGAACCCCCAATAGGAATCTCTAAATTGACTCCGTCAAAAAGGTCCTAAACTAAGTCTCGATCTTATCTTCCAAAATTGAACACAATCCGAGACCCGAAAACAACCCCAACAATAACATGCAAAATTAATAAGAAAATAAAGCTAAGGCAGTAACTGCGAGCTCAAATTTACCTTAAATAGAGGATCCTCAACATCTTTTAATCAAATTCCCAACATGCTCCCAAAGATCACACAACACTTCAAATCACTCAAATCGGAGCTCGAATAAGGGTGAAATCGCAATTTAAAAATAAGATCTGAAAACTAAAATTTTTGGGTATAAATACCCAAAATTGGTCACTAAAAGTAAACTTTGGTTACTAAAAGTCTAATATCTAGTCGCTAAAAGCCTGCACCAGTGTAACGACCAGAACCATCGTTATTTAGGAGGAACAAAAATTTGGGGAATTCTGGACCACTGTCCCACCACAGAGGGCCAGTTACCGCTACGACAGTGGCGCCAAGGCGGGGTAAGTGGGCGCCATAGGTCCGTACGGTTAAGCAGGTAAGCGAAGGCTCTCTTTCTCGCTCTGTGGTCTTGTGTAAAGCCTTTCCGCCTATCTATTCATTTTTTTTTCTCTTTATTCAAAGTAAGCAGATTGAAAGCACGAAAAGGAATGTCTTAGTGTGCCCTTACTCTAATTCGAAATACGTCTCTTTCTTTCTATTCAAATTCCTCTCCCTTCATTCCTCGATCCGCTTGTAAATTCTTGGTGTAATACCCACTCGTAAATGATTGGTGTAAGAATTTCTCACTAATCAGGTGTGATCAGTCTCATCCGTGTAAGAATTAGGAATTCCTCTTCCAACTCGTCCCAGAATGGGCGTTATGGCAAAGAACAAGAAGAAAACTAAAGGAGAAATTTGTCCAATAGTAACAAAGGGTGCCTCCACAGGTTGACATCCAATCCAACCTAGTAGTAAGCAATCCGCCAAAAGCAACCAAAATATTCCTTGGTGAATCGGGCGAAAACTTGAACTACGTACATACATACTTTTAAAAAGGATAGGCGAGGTAGAACGCAAATTATGAGAAATCCTACTTTCTTCATCTTCCTAAAACACCTAAATAAGTCATAAAACACCCTAAAAACCACAGAAAAGCTGCTCTAAGCTTGGGAAGGGAGGATACAGAGATTTCTAGAGTGAGGATGGGGAAATCTTGTGGATTCTTGGACAAATCCACCATCGCGAAGCTGAAAAACCTGAATCGAAGTTAAAACTCCGTACAACTGCATGGCGCCCAGGTAGGATAAGTTTTTTACGATTAAGTAGTTGTAAATATGTGCTTACTATGTAATATATGTAAATCAATGGTAGGGTTGTGTGTTGACCTTTGTGCACCGAGTAGTTCCATGAATAACCCCTAAAATTCAAAGTACGTGGGTTTATGCCTTGTGTGGAGGAATTGATGAGTTGTTAGTAACCCTAGAATTTCTATCATGGATAGAGTTGGGTCAGGAATAATGATATGAAATTAGGAGTGGAACTAGATTTATGAATGTATGCTACATCCGAT